TCTGCTTCAGTCTTACTAGCATGTTCTCAATTTAAGGACTGTGCTTTAGCTTTTACTGGGACTCTTTCCCTCTGGATCTTCACTTGGCTGATTCCTACTCTCCCGTAAGTCTTTACTAAGATCTCACCTCTCCCATGATACCTACCTTAACTATTCTATTTAAAACTAAAACTGTTTCAATCCCTCTATTTCCAGTCTACTCTACCATTATTCTATTTTCCTACTTATTAAGGCTTTCTAATGTGCTATATAAGCTATTGTTTTATATTTGTTGCTTATATTTTCTATATCTCTCGCAAGCACAGAACAAGTCTCAGGCATAAGAGATACTTGCCGTTGCTGCTAAATTTAAGGGATCACCAAAAAGTTCAATAATCAAGATGACTATTGTAATGAAATATTTTTTAAAATTAAAATTAATGCAAAGAATTTATTATGAACAGATATTAATAATTAAAATAAAGACAGGATCAAACAGTGTTCTGGTTAGCCATTTTAAAGCTTAAGGCAAAAGGAAAAAAGCACAAAAATATATATGTATATTTTTTAATTTTTTTAAAGATTTATTTATTTATTTGAAAGGCAGAGTTACAGAGATAGAGAAGGAGAGACAGAGAGGTCTTCCAATCACTGGTTCACTCCCTAAATGTCCACAATGTCCGGAGCTGGGCCGATCCAAAGCCAGGAGCCAGGAGCATCATCCTATACTCTCCCATGTGGGTGCAGGGGCCCAAACAGTTGGGCCATCTTCTACTGCTTTCTCAGACTCATTGGCAGGGAGCTGGATGGGAAGTAAAGCGTGGAGCAGTAGAGACTCAAACTGGTACCCGTATGGGACGCCAGTATCACAGGCAGCAAATTTACCTGCTATGCCACAACACCAGCCTCTTAATGTATTTTTTAAGTGGTTTATGATCTTAATGAAAATGTTATTGTGTTATTGCCAGTAAATCCAGGAAACTAAGAGTATAATAAATATTAGAGTTTTGTATAAATACAGTATTTAATCTTAAATAATATTGTGAGCTTTACTACAATGAACTATTAAAATGCATTTTTATTTTTTTTAATATAATGGCTTTATCTCCTTTTTCATTACATATCTTTTTATGGTACTATTCATTCTATTATCATATTTGTATGTATAATATACCTGTATATAAAACCCAGTGAAGGTAACAATTTTTTTTAAACTTTTATTTAATGAATATAAATTTCCAAAGTACGGCTTATGGATTACAATGGCTTCCCCCCCATAACGTCCCTCCCACCCACAACCCTCCCCTTTCCCACTCCCTCTCCCCTTCCATTCACATCAAGATTCATTTTCGATTCTCTTTATATACAGAAGATCAGTTTAGCATACATTAAGTAAAGATTTCAACAGTTTGCTCCCACACAGAAACATAAAGTGAAAAATACTGTTTGAGTACTAGTTATAACATTAAATCTCAATGTACAGCACACTAAGGACAAAGATCCTACATGAGGAGTAAGTGCACAGTGAATCCTGTTGTTGACTTAACAAATTGACACTCTTGTTTATGGCCTCAGTATCACCCTAGGCTCTTGTCATGAGCTGCCAAGGCTATGGAAGCCCCGTGAGTTCACTGACTCTGATCTTATTTAGACAAGGCCATGGTCAAAGTGGAAGTTCTCTCCTCCCTTCA